TACCTGCCAGGTATGCTCTCCTCCTAAGCTTTGTCCATCTTGTACCCAATTAATTTTCTTTACTCCCTAGCTAAGCATGTGTGTTTGCATCTCCCTTTCTTTCCTGTTCTCATTCTCAACCATATCAAGGATTTCCCACTAAAGACAGACTGCCTTCTGGCCCAGCTTCTTTCTTTAGAAAACACCTTGTTTCCCAGATACCAGTCACCATGACCACAGGGTATTTGCATGAGCTTCTTTTCACATGCTGTGCTCCGCTCTCTACTCAGCCTTTAACACTGACATGATTCCCTTCAGTGATGCCCATTCTACCCTCTTCTCTGGATTTAGGTGCTCACCTGCTACTGGTTTATCCCAGCTGGAATTGACAAGTATTTGTCATTATTATTTTAATTTAAAAAGCAAGTGCTGGCCCACCCTGGTGTCACAAAGGGTGAGGATACAGCACTGCAAGCTAGCAAAAGCCACTTAAGTGTAAGTTCAATCCCCAGTCCCAGATGTGACCCACATGGCACAGCAGATCTCTCCTGTCTCGCCTGTTGCTCCCCACAGCAGTGTACTTAGTTGATATGCCTATTCTGCTCCCCATTCTATCTCGTGAATCCTCTCACTGCGCCTGTACCTCTGGCCTGTAGCCCAGTTTTGTATGCATAAACAAATCTTAAAAAAGAAAATAGCAAGTGCTTACAGGGAAGTCATTGGCAGGCCAGGATGAGATTTCCTATTTCTTACCTTCTAGACCAGGTATCTCCTTTTTTTTAAACCAAGGTCCCCAGAACATCTGGTAGGCACTGACTGATTTTGTGAGTTTTCCATGGGGGCCCTCAAATTAGACACAATACTGTTGTGTTTTTACTACCTTGTAGTGTTAAATGGTGGAAGTTCATGATAAGCAGCCAGTTTTCTCTCTCATCCATCTTTATTTAACTCTTGGCATCCACTGCTGTTTATTCAGAATTTGGTGTAAATATTTTAGTTTCACCGAGCACTGTATACACATGTTGAGTTTAATTTATAAAAAGTTAGTGAATGTCCTACAAGAATGTCTTGGGTTCCAGCCATGGATGTGAATTTCACATCAGGGAGTAGTAAACTTGTCCCTACCTGCTTGGGCCCCCATACACAAACTGAAGCATCTCTACATTTGGGGGCAGCAGATGATGGGACTCTGTGAAGGCTGTGGATCCTCTCACAAGAAGGTCCTATATACGCAACACTTCTATGAAGCTGACTTTTTTTTATAATGTCAAGTCTGAACCATGTGTGTGATCTCATACCACACCTGTGAAGGTTCTGCTGCATTATTCCATTTTATAGAATGGGAAATGAAGCTCAAGATTTTCCTACTACTGGATAGTGTCAGATGTAAGATTCAAATTCAGACTCAGGGTCTCTGGAGTCTAGCTCCATTTATGCACACCTGCTCAGATATTTTACATTGTGTATTAGGAAGTCATAGACCTCGAAGTCCACAGAATGCTGCAGCTATAGGCGGTGAGACTAGATTGAGACACCCTGAATTTGAAGCCCCCACTCCCTTCCATTGACATCATCACTCTACTTTGATTTAACCATAGTCCAGGTTAGCAGTATTAACAACTAGAAGACTGAGTTCTGCTACATTCACTCTGATACACCCTTCCTGATTCCAGTCCTATCCCATCATTTTCTGACCTTTTGCGATTACTTGCTACATTCTCAGTGTCCATTTATCTAGAGTCAACGCTGACTGCTATTTTAAAATTTAACTAAAATTTATTTATTTTAGCTGTTTTCTTTTTAATTGACTCAAATTATTTTAATTAATTTTATTTGTTTGCTTGCTTGTTTGTTTATGCATGCATACAGAACTGGGGTACAGGCCAGAGGTGCAGGGGCGGTGAGAGGATTCACCAGAGACACTGCTGAGGGGAGCAGCGGGCTGGTCAGGAGAAGTCTGCCACCCCATGTGGGTCACCTCCGGAGCCGGGACTGAGCTCAGGCTGAAGTGGTGTTAGCTTCTTTGTGCTGTACTTTAACCTGCTGCACCACCAGGGAGAGCCAATGAATTAATTTTAAAAGAAAGCTTTTTTATTGGCACCATTGGGAAAACCACTGCTATTTGACATGGATAGACAATGTCAAAAAATAAATCTATAGCCTGTGAAAATGAATCAGGTTAAATTAAATATTAAATTCTAACTTAAATATTAGTGTTAAAAGAAATTAAACGAGAATGAGGTAAGAGTAGAAGGGTTACTTGGCACCAAATGGCGATTTTTCTTGTCCTCGATGTAGCCATAAGATTCAAATCACCAAGAAAAGGAATTACCTTTTTTTACTCTGTGTTGTAGTGAATTGAGATTGTCTGCTGAGAACTTTGGATCTCCTCACAAGTAATTGGACACATCTTTCCTTGCTGTGGTCCTTACTCAATGATGCTGTTTATTTTGTGGGCAAAAAACAGTTTTGCTTTCTGATAGACATCTGTCAGTCAGTGGAGATTTTGACCCTTCATGCTGCCTATGAGCTCCGCCCACCTCTGTACAAATGAGCTTGACAGTACATGCCTCTGGGGTCTGCTTTCTTGGGTTTCTGGCACTGTTGTGTTTTTCTATGTAACTTCCTTCAGGCGTAAGGACAAGCTTTTCTATGTAGACATTGCTATTGCCATTTGAACTAAGGTGATTAAGTGAAGCCAGAGAAGTGAGTTAACTTGCCTAAGGTCACACCTCTGTAAGTGGCGGGATGGCACTCCAGTCAGGTCCATGTCTCCCAGCTGGTGATTCTTAACAGTTTACATTCTGTAGTACGTACCTCTGGTACATTTTGTTTCAAAACAGAGACATGTTATCAGTGGGCATCAGAAAATTATTACATGAAGCTGGGAAAGTTTTACCTGTCCAGTTTAATATGTAAACAGAATTATAAGCCACTGTCCAGGGGTAGGGGGGGGGGAATGATACATAATTCTGGCATGCTGTGTGCTCTAGTGAGAAATAACTGTAAAATGAAAAATGAGATTAATGTTTCAGATTGTACAGTTCCCTAATTATGCTTTTAATTATTCATATAAAACAAGTAAAATGACCCCTGACAGAGACATAAATGATTTAGGTAAAATCAAATATTTATAAGATACTGCTGTGTCCCTGGGTGTATTGTAACAGATGCACTCAAAATGCTTTGCTTTCGTCCTTTAGATGCAAAATGTTATGTATAGAATTTATAACAGGCTGAGAGTAATTAACAGTATTAAAGACACTATGGAGCTAATTCATTGGTATTTTGGCTTTTTGGAATCAAGGGTATGTGATTAATTTAATGCAGTATTTTAGAAGATGATATAATTTTATCTTTATCAGTCTTTTATATTCAATATGTTTTATCTTCTAAAAATATTGCATTATGTTTTAGGTATCACCAACCTCCTGCCATTTTCTCCTTTTCTAATGGCTTCTAATATATCAAGAGGAGAATAATAATATTCCATGACATGAGAAAATTATACCTAATTTCCAGTTTTAGCAGAATGCAGTATCATTCAATCATTTATGTTATTGGGTTTGGCTATAAAGACTATGTAAAGTTGCTGCAACAGAAACCTCACAAAGCTTCAGCATTTATTGTCTGACCCTGTTCTGGAAGATGCCCAGCATTTAATATGGGTGGAAGAATGCTTTGACATGTTTTATCAGCTTTTGTTTATTTTAATCTTTTAAGTTGCTGCCCTACTAATTGAACATTCCCTTGTCTTTTTTCCTAAGTCAGAGGAAAACTGTCTTTTCAATGCAATAAAAAGGAATTGATACAAATGGAGTTCCTTTCCTTGGTTTTAATATTTTCTTTATCTAGAAATGTGCTAAATGAATTGCACTGTTTTAGAAATGGCTCATTAGCCTAGTATCCCTATCTTTTATGCAGGATTTCTCTTCAGAACTCTAGGATCTCTGTAAGAAGAGATGACAAGGAAGATAGGAGATTTCTCCGTGGCCCAAACACTCTTGGTTTTTGACAGATTGCTCAGTATGCTGATTGATGTCTTACACAAATGTAGAAGCCGAGTGTTTAGTGAATGAATGAATGATTTCATTTTAGAACACAAAGAAGGGAATATTTCACATAAAGAAGAAGTCCTCCTTTTTAATGAGTTGGATATTACATTCCTTTAGGAGCAAAGAATTTTTCTGCTAGTGTAAGTCCAAATTTTTTTATCATTATTTCTGGTCCCCGTGTTTTAGGGAAGAAGTATACGTTACTGAACTTGGGGGTTTGAGTTGATTGAGGTTCCCTTTGTTGGGCATTCTTTTAGATGGAAATGAAAATTTTTCTTATATTTAGAATTAAAAGAAGCAGTAAAGTAAATCTAATTGTCTGCATTACTTGAGTGACTTGAATAGAATTTTCATTTTCCTGGAAACCATTATCAAATGCAATGAAGGCATTCCCCAACCCCAGCTATCTTCCTGCTGCTCTGTTGCCTTAATTAATATTAAAAGAATCTGCAAATTCTGTTTCCTTACCTCATGCCTGTATTTTATGATCAAAGAAATATGCCTTCACATCCGACCTATATAGTACATGTATTTCCCATCTCATTCTGAACCTTGAAGTTCACAGTAGCTTAAAAAAGAATAGCCCTCACTCTCTAGATATTTTGATCATCGAGCAGATTCAAAGAGCCCCACATTAAGAGTGTTAAGAGTGACTTAGTTTGTCTTTGTCTCCTTGTTTTGTTTCTAGTTTTGCTTTTGCTTTCATCGCTGAACTGCTAAGAAATTCGGATAACATTTCCTGGGAATTTTTGTGATTAATAGTCAACTGGTACTTGAGAGCATTCTGTCATTAAAAAGTGCTAATTTATTCAGACAGGTGTTTTGACTTTTTTTTTTTAACAGGTACATGAAGAAATACTTCATATGACATGATCATAAACTTTATTTGATAATCACCAAAAAAAAATTATTTTCAAATTTGGTTTTGAGACTTAACTTGCTTTCCTCCCCTTCCATTTTCTGCAGTTGCCATCCTTCTGAAAGATGACTATTTCATCAGTGGCGCTGGCTTGCCTGGCCGATTCAAAGCTGAGAAGGTAGAATTTCACTGGGGCCACAGCAATGGCTCTGCTGGCTCTGAACACAGCATCAACGGGAGGCGGTTTCCTGTGGAGGTGAGAGAGACTAGGTTATCAACATGGTGACATACTGCCGGTCTTTCCATGAGTGACGTGCTTTGTCTTTGCCCGGAGTCATCTTTTGACGCTACCTCGTACCCTCTTCCCTTTATTTGTTTTATTTGTGCAGCTCTTTTAGATTTAGCACAGGAGGTGGCTATCCATCTTCAAGGTTCTCATCTCAGGTGTCGTGGCTGTAGGAATCTCACCCCCGTCGATGGTTTCCAACTATTTGTTATGTTTGATGCAGTTTCCTTTCACTATTCATTCCTAAAGCTCTCCTTTCTAAAGGTGAAATTTTGTATGAATCACGGGTGACTTCATTTTCACCCTTTAGAAAAGAGGAAAGTTAGTTGATATATGAAGAGGAATCTCAGAACCTGCTCTCAGTAGGGAAGCTGTTTTAAAGTTTGCCAGCTGTTGAGAAGAGGCTGTGGACAGTTGGTTGATGACTTGCTGTTAACTCTGTCAAGATCGATGGTGACATTTTGCCTTCCTGTATCAGTTTTCTCAGAGATCCATGCTATTGGACATAAGAAAAGTGTACGTGTGATAGGTCATGTATATCTTTAGGTTCAGGGAGGAAGGAAAAAGCAAATCTCTAAGCCCCTGCATTAATGCTTGGGTGGGGATAGCATATTACTTCTAGTGCTAATTTTATTTTTTTCCTTTGATCAGGATATGAATATATTTTTGTAAAGCTAACTTGTGTCCTCGTTGGTTGTCCATGTGTTAATTAAGCCTTACAATTTTATGGAAGCACTGAACATGGATACTTTCAGGTCTCTGACTGGACTTAAACATGTCATGACTGGTTAACCATCTCAGTGGTAGCCTATGTTAATCACGGTGCCAGGGTCAAGGAAGGTTTCAACTCTTAGAGTTTTATAACTTCTGTTAAATCATGACTTGCTTAGAAAATGTGATGATGCTTGAGACCTCCTCTGTAGAGAAAATACAAATCTATGTCTATAAACAGTTTTATATATGCTTCACAAGGTTTCATTACTTGTCCTGTCTCCTCAAAGTCATTCATGGACCCTCTAGGCAACCAGGAATGAAACTCAGGTAAAGAATCCCTATAACCTGAGAAAATGTGCAAATGTGCAGGATGTCTTTGTTTACAGATCCTTAGATTCACATATAAATTTGTTTCTTACCTGTTTGTTCTGGGCAAACAAAAGGCAACTACTCTGAGAAAGTGTTCATATTTTTTTTCTGGTTTAGGTGAATTTTCAGTATCAACATTCTTCCTGTATTAGAACTCTTCTATTTGCGAGACTTCCTGTCCTACTCACACTAATTGCTTTTCTCATGAGTTGGGTTTCTACTTAATGGATTCTTCTCTTCTCTTCCCTTAAATTGAATGAATCATTTCATAGAAATCTTGGCTTTATTTGAACTCGGAAATTTCGATTTCCAGAAGCAAAATTACATCATATTTTAAAACTTGGGACTTCCCTTCTGTCCTTATTGATAGTCAGTATTGGCCATGTGAGTTAAAGGATAGATTCATCCAGGTAGCTTTGCTCTAAAGCCTTTCTCTTAAAATTCGGTTGCCACTTGGCTAGGTTGATGCTGTTTTGGACAAAAGACCTTGAAAGTTTGCACACCTAATCTGACAAGAATCTTGGAAAAGACCACCTCTGGTTTTAGGAACAAAGAACTCTTCCTCATCTTGTTTGTAATCACATCCCTTGATACTAATTAGGCCTTTCTTCTCTCCTGTTTGATTCTGGATAAATGGAAAGGTTGGATATGTTTTCTTTTGAATATATTTTTTGAATTATGTTTTACTAAGGTAACATTGATTTACAGCACTATATGTATAGCTTACCACCTCTGCAAATGTATTTTGCCATACCATGCTCACAAGCAAAGCCCCAGTAATCCTCTACCATCGTCCATGGGCCCCTGCACACTTCTGCCACTCCCTCACTTTCTGAAAGCCATAGTTTACAGTACTATGTCTAAGATTTGTTTTGAGTTTCATTTTCTTTGTTTTTGGTTTTGTTCTTTATATTCCATATGTGGGTGAAATGATTCAGTAGTATGTCTTTGATTATAGATGATTTTATTCACACATTTGTCCTTCTCCTTCTAACTTACTTGATTAGTATAACCCCCTTTGTTGCATCCATATTGTCACAGACGGAAATACTTCATCTTTTTTATAGCTGAGTAGTATTCCACTGTGTACTTATGCCATTTTAAAAATCTATTTATCTTTCACAGAGAACTGAGGTTGTTTCCATAACTTAAATGAACAAAAGAGTACATGTATACATTCAAATTAGTATTTGTGTGTTCTTCAAGTAGATGTATAGGAGTGGGATTGCTGTTTCACATAGTAGATCTAGTTTTAATGTTTTCCATAAAACCCAATCTGTATTCTCACCAACAGTGTATGAGGGTTCCTTTTACATTACACTCTTGCCAGTGCTTGTTGTTCCCATCTTTTTAATACGGGCCATTCTCATAGGTTTGTGGTGGAATCTACTTGTGTTTTTTATTTGTATTTCCATGCAAATAAGAAAACATTAATTTAAAATGAAGACTTTGATTTACTTTTATCCATTTACCCAAAGGGTGCCATTAAATTCAGAGACTATTTTTCTGTGGTGGCTATGATGCCCAGACTTAGTGTTTGACAAATTATTTAAATTTGTTTCTTTTAAGGTATACAAATTATAAGCCTGTCTATATTAATTGGGTTCCTCATAGAAGCCCATCTGTCTCATAACTTGTTGTTGATTTAATATGATAAATATGTTAAATTGCTTAATGGATATATTTGGCAGAACTTGAATTTCAGCATCAAAGGCAACAGGATCAAGCTTTCATATATGCACAGAAAAGTTTTTCACTTATGTCCCAAACATATCTGCCATATTTTGTCTTAAATTCCTTTATTTGAGTTCTTCATCAATACTGGCTGTCCTTGAAAGTTTTATACTGTATCTTCCCTTCCACAGAGGACAGTAGGCATTGTCTGTCAGTGGTATTCTAAAAGAATCTACTGGCTAGAAACCAGGGATGCTGCTGAGCACCCAAGATAAAGAATTATCCAGCTCAGGGTATCCCAGACACAATGTTAAGTGGACCGGAGCCTTCCTTTACTTGTATCTTTTTCAGTACATCTGAATAATGAGGACAATGCTCAAAAAGTTGCTCCATCCTCTTGTGGTTTTAGAGAGGAAGTGCACCTTGCCTTGTGGATTCGAGCATTGCTAGTCCAGGTTCCCTCAGATTCCATTTGTGGTAAACTCATGACCTTGGGCATTTCAGAGGAGGCCTAGGTACTCCGGCTGTACAGGTTGGATTTAAGCTGATGTCCACAAGAATCTGGACTTGCTCTCTGAGGTTAAATGACAACAAACCCAACTTTGTAGGTTTTGCTGCTTCCTAGGAATTCTTTGAGGTCATCTCTAACAACTCTGTACACATCCAGAAATAAGACCTCACCACATTTTCCTGGCTGAAATCCTAGACTCAGCCTTGTAGTTCCTATGTTTAAGAACATCCAATCTAACAGAAAAATAAGTTTTCAATAGCCAACAATCCTTACAGCTAAGTTAAAGTTAGAAAAGAAAGTGGGAGTCAAATTATAATGCCACGCCTTAGAGACAACACCCAAATTGCTTCCTCAGATGTCCTCACCTCCTACTATTCAGCTTTATTCCTGGTCTTATAGTGCATTTTTCTTGACTGCCTTGTGTTGTGTGACACTGGATGACAACGTGAATGTGAAAGACATGATCGCTACCCTCATGGTATTTATACACTAGTGGTGACACAAATACAACAAGCCAGCCATACAAAGAGCTGTGATTTCAATTGTGATATAGTCACTTAAGGACAAGGACATTTTATCAGGAGATAAAAGTCCTTTGGAGACAGCAGTATTTATTAAGATGGAAGAGATGACTTGCAGCCTGCAGGTCGAACAGGGATATGCAAAGACCCTCGGGTAGGGAATAGTTGGTAGGACTTTCTTAAGGAATAAAAATGTTTTCAGAGGCAGGATAATGACCTCTTAAAAATGTTCTGTCAGTAATTCCTGAAACTTGGAAACATATTACATCACGTGGCAAAAAGGACTTTGCAGATATGATTAATCATCCTTAAAGTCAAAATGCTCAGAAAATTCCAGTGATTAAAAAACAGTAGGACTTCAGGGCCCTCCCTGGTGGTGCAGTGGGTTAAAGCACAGCACTATGAAGCTAGATGTAGCCACTTCATGAGTTGGATCCCCGGCCAGGGGTGGGTGGCAGACCCCTGCTCACCTACCCTCTGCTCCCCTCAGCAGTGTACCTCCATGATCTGTGTATTCTGCTCCCCACTCTGTCTGTGGTGAATCCTCTCAACGACCCTATACCTCTGGCCTATACCTATATGCATAAGTAAATAATTCTTAAAAAAAAAAAGAAGCAATGGACTTCATCTCATATTCCTGCTCTTCCTTAGCTACTGGACTTTGCCATCTGTCCAAACTTCTGTTCTTTCTCATAGTTCCTACCTTATCCCCAGATTTCTCCCTATCCCACACTCACTCCCTGTTCTGGGGTGGGAACTTGAATAAAGGTTTCATGCAGCATAATTCACTAATGCAGTATTTCCACTAATAACTGAAGTTGCAGTTAATGCAAACAGGAATCTCCAGATAAAACCTCTGAGAATTCCATTAAAGTGTAGGTTCATTGCATGTTTGTTGTCGGAAGTAATTAAAATCTTGTTTATTACAATAAGAGATTGCAGGCATTGTTGATTCAGACTTACTGGTGCTTTATGAATTGAAGTTTTCAATAAGCTTAAATGATCCAAGTTGATTGTGTGTGCCCTTTCTGGTGAAACTCACAGCTGGTTCATTTCAGTGCTGTTTAGAGAATCTTAGCAAGTGAACACAAGCAAAGACATTTCTCCTAATATATATGATGTACACATTACCATATGGTACAGGTCTATAATTCCTTAGCTGAAACCCTTGAGGCCAGATG